CTTGTAGCTCACTTTGACTTAGAGCTACATCAGATGGATGTCAAAACCGCTTTCCTTAATGGCGATTTGGATGAAGAAGTGTTCATGAAACAACCCGAAGGATTCAAATCTGAAGGTCAAGAGCACCTAGTCTGTAAGCTAAAGAAATCCATATACGGGTTGAAGCAGGCATCACGTCAATGGTACCTAAAATTGCATCAAGTCTTGAAGTCAGAAGGTTTCATAAAGAATGAAGTGGATCAATGCACCTACCTCAAGATGAGTGGGAGCAACTTTACTATACTTGTCCTTTACGTAGATGACATTCTATTGGCAAGTAATAGTTTAGACATGTTGCATGAGTCCAAGCGCTTACTCTCGCGTAATTTTGACATGAAAGATCTCGGAGAGGCTTCTTATGTTATTGGCATCGAAATACACCGAGATAGAGTCATTGGTATTTTGGGATTATCTCAAAAGGCTTACATTGAGCGTGTCCTTACACGTTATAACATGCAACTTTGCTCTCCTTCTGTGGCTCCAGTAGTTAAGGGAGATGTTTTCGGTTTATTTCAATGTCCGAAAACAGAGGTTGAAAAGGAACAAATGAGAATGATACCTTATGCGTCAGTAGTAGGAAGCCTTATGTATGCAAAAGTCCGTACTCGTCCAGATATCGCTTACATTGCTGGAATGTTAGGTCGTTATCACACCAATCCTGGTCTTGATCACTGGAAAGCAGCTAAGAAAGTTCTTCGATATCTACAAGGGACAAAAGACTATAAACTGACTTACAGAAGGAGTGATAATTTAGAAGTGGTTGGTGTTGATCACTTCAGGGTATATCTTAATGTTAGCTGGCGGACCTATCTCGTGGAAGAGTCATAAGCAAGAGTTGACTGCAACTTCTACAATGATGGCAGAATACATTGTGCTGTACAACGCAACCTGTCATGGGATGTTGCTTAGAAACCTCATTACTGGACTCAAAGTAGTTAATTCCATCTCTCGACAATTGAAGCTTTATTGTGATAACTCAGCCGCCGTTAGTTTCTCGAACAGTAACAGTTCGACTGGCGCTGCTTTATATCTTGATACAAAGTACTTGTTTGTACGTGAGCGAGTTGAGGAAAATAAACTTTGTATTGAGCATATAAGTACTAAGAATATGCTTGCGGATCCAATGACTAAAGGTCTCCCTCCTAAGATTTTCGAAGAACATGTTTCGAAGATGGGGTTATCCAAAGACCATATTTAGTTGCATATTGTACTTGCTTACATTTAATAATAAAATTTCCTTATTGTTTTGTTTGTTTTGTCTCTGAATGTGTCTACGCATGCCTAAAGACATATAGACAACATTTATGTACAGAATAATCTTATGGGCTTAATTGTCAATTTGATCCTTAGCTTATTTAAGTTTTAAATTTGGTATTATAGTATGATTAATGGGGGTCTTGAATTGAAAATCGATTCAATGACTGTATTTCTCTGCTACAGTTTCGGTTTAGAACTAAAATGAGTATTAAAATCTGATCAGACTTATCTAATACTCATCATAAATGATTACTCGGCCAAGTGGGAGAATGTTGGACACATTTTTATTATGTGGCCTGAGTTATCATTTATCTAATTATTTGATCATTGACCTAATAAATACCCTACGTATTTAATTGGTAATTATTCGATGGACGTAATTATCCTTATGACCTAATTAGGGTTTCCCCATGGGTGTATATAAATGGAGGTATTAGGCAGAGATCGACACACCAATCTTACGCCTTCTCTCTGCCTCTCTATTCTCGTGAGTCTCATCCTCACCTTAGCCATCATAACGATACACCCTAAACGGGAACTCGATCTGCGTGAGAATCATGGCCTCATCCCTAACTACGTTTACAGGATTATCAGGTACACATGATTAAATCCCTAATTTGTATTTTATGTTTAAGAATTGATCAACAGATCCATGTTAAAGCTTCACGACATGCCATAGCCTTCGCCATTAAAAGATCCGGTGGACAAGAGAGAGCACCATTTATTTGCAGCTGACCAAACAGCCCATGAATGAAGTTTTCCTTTTGACGGTGTGACGCATATTGAAGAAAGAAACGAGTGTTCAAATCTCCAGAGAAAAAAAAAACCCAATGTCTATCAAGAAATGCCTCGCCATTTGATTCAATATGCCATGCATCAATTTATTTGTTCATGTACGAAGTAATTATTTATCCCTTCTAATTTTTACCTAAATAAGATTAAAATATATATAATGACTTTCTCAATATAGTACCATATGTTTTTATATCTATTAGTCATTATTAAACTAATATAAATGTCCACCATCACTTGGACATTATTTTTTTCACTAGTCATTATTAAATCCTATTTAGGGAATAAAAAAATTTAAGTCCTACATTGGGAAATGACTTATATTTCAGTCCTATTCAGTGCAAATTTTACATATTAAATCAGGACTGAGGGAGTATAAACATTACTTCATTCGTGCGAGGAAGGTTTTTCAATTCACTATTATTTCAGCCTCAAAATTTAAAATACTTTCTTTGCTTAGTTGTATTATTAGTTACTCTGTATATGATAAAGTATATAATATTTCTTCAGTTCAAAAATTATCTTATTATTGTGATTTACAATATTTTACTCAAACTATTTAAAATTGATATAAATTAAATAATACTCCGTATTTCGTAAAAAGTACACACTTCAAAACTACTCCCTCCTCCGTCCCATAACTAAAAACATCATGATTAGAATTATGAAGCAACATAAGTACATAACAAAATAAAACTTCTAAACTTTCTTCGTCCTAAATTAAGTTGTTTGTTTATTATTTATAGACTCAAACTTCATTCATTTTCTGTCTCTGTTTTTGACAATCAGTTGATAAAATAAAATAGTCATGTTACCAATTTTTTTGTAGATGTTTTGATCTAGTTTTTATAAATATAATTTTTAGGGAGAAAGACTAAAGTAGGACTAAAAGATTGAAAATATACTAAAATAGGACTTCAATGTTTTTATTCCCGAAATAGGAGTTAAAATACATTTACATTACCAAATATGATCATGTACATTACCACCAAAAAGTATAGTAATGTGCACATGTACAATGCCTCATTACAGCCACATTATCACAATGTGAAGTCCTATTACTAAAAAAACTTGAAAGTCTTATTTTGGTATTTTTTTTCTCTATGTTTTAGTCATATATATTTAGGGTGATTTTCCTGATTTTTTTCATTTTTTTAATTTGACACCATTTTTATATAACATTATTTAAAAAATTCAGTCAAACATCGTAAACCGAAACGAGCGATTTAAATAATGATGAAAAGAGTAATAAAAACTCCAAATTAACAAATATATTTAAAAATACTACATACTCTACAATCCATAACAATCTGTTTGATGAGTATTTGTGGTAAAACCCGCAAACAAATGAAACAACATTTTCTTCAACACTTACTTCAAGAATCAAGATCAAATTGATCCAACGTGGTAAAACAATTCCTACAAATCAAGACAAACCATTTAATGTAAAAATAAATAAATAAATAAATACTGTAAAAAAAAAAATTCTCAAAAAAATGAAGGTTAATTAGTTATGTTTCCGCCGCCGCGAATACTAATAATGAATTAAGAAATGCATGCAGTAGTTCTTGTCCCGTCCGCCGCCGCGGACAATCAAACACCAACGGCGACGCCATATAATTCATCCCAACAGAAGGCGCACGCAGCGTCACCGCAGCCGCCGCCGCCGCCGGGCTCTTTCCTCGGAAGCTCCTCTTCCTCGACGACACCGCTCTCCGGCGGCAACTCTTCCCCAAGCGCTCCGCCGAGAGTCTCGATTTCGACGCTAATGTGCAGCCCGTAAGTCCACCGCCCGCTCGCAACAGTTTCGAAAGCGTGCATGGCCACGTCGGTACTTATCCTAGCGGCGCGTTCTGGGTCCCACCCGAAGAATCCGGCGACGACGCCGGAGAAAAAAGCGGAAGCGCTCTCCGGGGAGCGCAGTTCGTGCTGGGGGTTGAAGTATACCGGCCGGAAACTAAGGCTTTCCGGGGAACCGGAGGCGGCGGTGGTTGTGACGGCGAGACAGCCGTGTGTGGGGTCGGGTTTGTATAGGGAAATATATTTGACCACTCTACCTAGGGTTGTTGCCATATTTTGTTTTTTTGTGATTTTTTCAAGAAGAAAATGATAAGTGAATTAATCGAAGGTTTAATTAATTACACTACTTTAATGAGGCTTGGTTACTTATATATAGGGATTCTTTAACTTTATCTTTTTCCTAATCCCACTAAACTTGAGAATACTGTAATTAATTAACATTAATTAAAATAGATTACATTTAGTGACTACGGTGCATTACTTGTGTATTAAACTTCTTTTTTAAGTTTAACAATATATGCAATAATGCATCTCATTATTTTGAGATATACTCCGTGTTCCCTTTGTCCAAAAAAAAAATGTCTAGAATTTGATTTATTTGGTCAGTAGCTAAACACATTGGTCATTGGTAAATATAAGTTTAAATCAATAAATATTACAAAAATTTGATACATCAAAATTGTGTTACATTTATATTACTCCCTCTGTCCCTAAATTAATGATCTACATACTTTACTTTTCAAAAATAGCAAAAACTTTTGTTTATTTATGTGTTTTCATTGATTATTTTACGAAATAAAATATTATTGTTATCTCTTATTTTGTAGAACATTTGATACTTTTTTTTAAATATGTAAGTTTTATTTTTTATTTATATACCAATCTTTAAATAAAATGAATTGAGAAAAGGTTGAAATTTTATTTCATTTTGCGTAGAGGGTAAATGATTTAGGGATGGGGGGTGTATAATGAAATTTAATTTTGTCAAAATTTGTGATCCAAGTATGTAGTTTTTAACCTACATAGTTTTATAAATTTTTTTACTTAAAAAAAAAATTATATACTCCCTCCGTTCCTAAATAGATTGCAATTTTTTTCTGCTCTCGATAACTTTTGTTTATTTATGCAATTTTATTAAGTATTTGATAAAATAAAATATTCTTATCACCTCTTGTTTTGTACCCCTCCGTTTGCAAAAAGACTTCCCATTTTGATTTGGGGCAAAAATAAGAAAGTGTTAAATTATACTCCCCCGTCCCGGAGTATTCGTCCAGTTTTGACTTTTGGAACTATTCATCTAAGTATTTTGACTCATCAAATTCTCTCAATGTGTAAGCCTAAATATAGTCATGTGTGATCTTGTTTGATTTGTCTTAATATATAGATTATTAATATATAATTTTTATAATTTTTTAATATACAAATTACAAGATAAAATGGATTAAAGAAGTGTATTGGATGGCGTGTAAAAATGAAAGTGGACAAATACTCTGAGACGGAGGTAGTAGTTGATTTCCAATTTTGCCCTTGATGTGATGGATAAAAGTAAGATGTGATAGATAGTTTATTAGAGAAAAAATATGATATGATAGGTAGGGTATGAAAAAGTAAAGGTAAAAATGGTTTTTTAATAGAAAGTGGAAATGTTTTGTTGGAAGTGGAAAAAATGAAAAAGGAAGTGTTTTTGAGAACGGAGGGAGTAGAACTTTTGACGTAGTTTTTAATATGTAATCTTTATATCTTATTGATATGCCAATTTGTAAATAAAATGATTTCAAAAAGTAGAAAATTTTACTCGTAACCCGCAATTTGTAATCAAATTGGGGACGAAGGGAGTAATTTTTTTTAAATTATTTACCATTTTTCCTTTTAATACATTTCAAAATCAAAAAATTGTACACTGTATTAAATGTATGGTGAAGTTCAAATGAGTGCTTTGGGAGTGTCATCCGATGCTTCCGGTGTCAATTAGAACACTTAGAGTCTTCTGTTGTTGTTGTTCGCATAATTGATAGTACTTGCCCTCTCATCTTAGAAGAAAAGATTAAAATATGATTTCCAATTTGTAATTCTTGGTATTTTGATAAAACATTATTTCGTATTGACCACATACTACCCTTGCATGCTTGATTGATTTTGTTTTTTAAAGAACTAGTACTTCACCCGTGCGATGCACGGGAAAATGTATTGCACTGTAATTCTTGGTATTTTGATAAAACATTATTTCGTATTGACCACACTACCCTTGCATGCTTGATTGATTTTGTTTTTTAAAGAAAGTAGAAACTTTGCATAAAATCGATAAATGTTTATATAAATTTTTCCATTCAAAATTACTACAAGATTACCAATGTTTTTTGTCCTTATTACTATTATTTTTGGATTAAATCTGGGTGAAGAATTATTAATTTTTATCAATATGTGGTGTATTAATATTTTTTTAAATTTAAAGTGGGCGAGAACAATAGTTGTTTTTTTATATATTTTGTATTAATTTTAAAAATTAATGTGAAGGTTAGGAATATTTTTTTTAATTATTAGCTTTTGTAGCTATAAAAGATTCAAATATTTGGAAATATCATAGCATATCTTTTACCCTCACTAAATGAGTCATTAATAAAGTCGTGCCCCAAAAATTATTTAGAGATATATAATATGTAAAAGAATCAATACAGTTCTGTTGACAATGTAAATTAATGTCAACGGATTACACTAGGCACATACCATGTTTCATTCGCAAAATCTATAGCTTCTACCCACTAAATCCCCACTCAGTCCTAACCCGAATTCATTCTCCCACTCTCGTCAATTGCCGCCCACAAGTTTAATTAATAGTGGAAACAAATTTGGACCCCATAGTTAACTAAAATTGCGAGGCATAATTGACGGGAGTGCAAAATATATTCAAATAAAGAGTGGGTGGAAAGTTTTACCAAGAGATTAAGGTCATGTTCTCCCCAACTTTTTTTTTACTAATTACTTATTCTTATTAGAATCAAATCAGGTCAGATCGAATCAGACCAAATCAAATCAAAAATAGCTTTAAATATAAGTATATTCAGATCAGATCAAAACTTATTCAAACCAAATAAGAATCCATCAAAACAGGTGAAAAAAACATGACCTAAGACTCTAAGAGGGACAAGAGTCATCAATCTTACCAAACCACCAACTCATATATATAGTACAAACTACATAGGAGTGCATCAAATATACCATCTCTATATACTTCATATGGCCTCCATCTACTATATATATATTCATTCCATTCTTTTTTATCTAACGATTATACCTTTCTTGATACATTGAAAAATGAATAAATGTAGACATACAGTACGTTCGTATTCGTCCAATTTTAATGTATCACAAAAGTCGCGAGCTAAATGGGAATGGAGGGAATATATACACACACACACACACATGCTAAGCTAATAAGAAAAACACACAGCCATTCATCATAGTACACAAACGCCACTTAAATTCACTGTGATCATAAGAGAAGATTGTTGAAAAGCCAGGAATGATTTGCCGCCACCTGGTTAGAGGGCTGAGCCGCCGCCTGAGGACTTGGTGGAACGCACGCCATATTTTGACTCGCGGGCGCAACTCAGGGCTCTCCCGTACTGAAGCTGAGGCGCCTCTGGAGAAGATGATGATGGTGGAGGGGAGAGGGAGCAGCGGGAGAGAGGCGCGCTGCAACCTGCCTGATCAGATGAAGAAGCGTTGGCGGGGGAATCGGACTTCTTGACGAATCTGCCCCCAGTCCCCCTAGCCCTCCTCAGAGCATGCTGGTGTCTGGATTCATGGAGATATGGCTGCATTTGAAAGAAGAAGGTTGATAACAGACAAGGGCAAAATGGGCATGCGACAAAAAGTGTCCGGGTGGGGGGTGGGGGGGTGGGGGAGAAAAAAACAAACCTTTCTAACTTTGATGAGCTTCTTCTGAAGTTCAGCTTTGGCACGGGACTCTCGTCTGCGAAGGATTCCGTGGTACTGTTTGGCATTCACGTAGACGGGTTCTTGAGTCATTTCGAGTGGCAATGGCATCCTCATATGGCTCATATCCACCATTTCAGGAGCAGGTACCTGAAGATGACCACAATTTTGTACTCTTCAATCCATTTACTAAAAGGCCCTCCTTAAACACCACTCTCCAATTCATGTCCTTTTTAGAAATGGGATCAATTGAATAGCAGAGGAAAGGATATTTTGGGAAGGGGGGATTTAATCTGCATAGATCTCATTTAAATTGGTGAATCCGTCCGTGTGAACTGTGAACAGCTAGGCATGCCAAACACTATTTTCATGAACAACTAACACAACCCGTCGATCAAAATAGCTTATTCAACTAGTCATTCAAACCAACCCACACAAACAACCAACTGCAATTTCCAAACAAGGCCTAAGAAGATACAAGTCTGAACAATGATCGAGCTCAAAAGGTGAGAAAAACATCAATCAAGTAAATAAAGTGTAAGGGGTCAAGCAACTTCACGTACCAAGGGTTGACCATAAGCAGCTACCATTTGCCCAAAATATGGGTTAAGGTATGGAGTTGGAGCACAAGCCTGAAAACCAACAAACAAATAATTAATTACTAATTAATCTCAGCTTTTGAACACAAAACTATCACGGCATTACCAATTCTATTATCAAAAACTCATTTTTTTTCACTTTTGTGAATGACTAGGGACTCCTTACAACTTTTGCACCTTCTGGGCACTTATCCAAACAATTTCCAGTTTATTTTCGCCGTAAAAGAGAAATAGCCGCAATATAACGATAGTTGTGCACAGACCAAATGTGGGAAAAAACTAATCTTTGAAGAACCAAAAGTGCAAATATTTCTTGAAAAAAATTACTCACTTACAATTGAATGTCCAACAAGTTCAAGCTGTTGTGGCGGCTGCGCAAGGGGCTCCTCACTTCCTCCAGGCACGAGTGGTGCCACTCGCTGATTTGCTTGTTCCCTGTTTCCTTCTAACCTTGAAATGATGATCTCATAAGTAATAAACATTCGTTTATACAAAACCATGACGAGAGGCTATTTCCATTTCACCCTTGATGCATTATTACATTTACTACCAAAAACTTCGTAGAAAATAAGAAGCAAAACAAAAAAAATCAGAAGATGAGATCATCATATATTGAATGTAAAAGAATTTACTTGTTTTTCCATCTGTTTGGGCTCAAGAAGAGAAGATTTTATTAATGGTGTTTCATGCATTGAGAATTCAAGAAGTGTGTCTTTGTGTCAAGGCAATCACACAAATTACAACACTTAAGAGGCCTAGGGTAATGACTTTACCTCATTTTCAAATACGATGTAACCTCATATTACCTTGGTAATTTTAAAAAAACATGAGCCAAACAAATCTTTAGCTTCAATTTAAAGATGCTGATATCCTGAATGCATACCTTGACCTGAAGGTGCAGTCTTTTCTGATTTGTCGTTAGCGTTATCTCCTTCGTGATTGACTCCCACATCGGATTGTGATTGATCTTCCACAGATTGCTCCAAAGAAGACGAAGATGAATCAGAGGCATCGTCCACCTGCTGCTGCATCACGCAATTGAGGCCGGCACTGCTTTTCCACCAAGGCTCATTGGAAGGCTGAGCAATGTTATGTGGGTTGGCTTCCACCGGGTTTGCAGCTTTTGGTGTTGGTAGCATAGTCTTCAAACCACTTCAAGAACTAAATCCCAGTTTCCTTAATAAGTAAATACCCAGATTAAAAAAATACAACAAATCCAATAAAATCCCACAAAAAATACAACAGCTTTTTAAAATCCATTTTACAACTAATATTACATGACCTTCAAAATCATAAAACACCCACAAAGTGGTGTCATCAGTTTCATCAAATGAAAGTATGAAATCCCAAAATAAATTTCATCAGCTAATTCCTTGAATTAAAAGGGACCCAGAGTTTTCCAGGAAAGAAAAATAATTATGACTGAAGTTCCATACTTCCATTTAACAATTACCAATAACCCCATATTTTCTGGGTCCCCAAACCTTCTGCCAATCCATTTTCAAGAAAACCCAGAAAATTACTGCTAAAAATAAAGCCACAATTTTTCTTGCGGAATGGAAACGGAAGAGCTTGGGTAACAGAAGCAATCTCAAGCAGCAGCGATTCGGACACAGATAACACGACAAGAATCATAATTATCGCAAGATTTTGAGAGAAAAAAAGGAAAATTGAAATCGGGATTTGGGATTGGACGATATGTTTCCCCCCAAAAAGGGGAAGAAATCAAAGCTGGGGGGGAATTTTTACCTGCTGCCGCTACGAGAAGAGCGAGAAAGATTATTGATTGGATGAAATTTTGTGGAGTCGATAAAGAGAGAGAGAGAGAGAGAGAGGGTGACTCACCGATTCACCGATGATGAATGACGCAATCATATGACGACGGTTCACGGACTCTTCCGCCGACACGTAGCGGCCGGCTTAATCCTTTTTCAACATCCTATCCACTCTCACTTTGAAGACCAAGTGGCGAGTACAGCATTTAGGATCCCCATTTGACTATTTTTTCTTTGAAAAAAGAAAAAAAATTAAAGTAATAGGAAAATATTAAAAATATATCAAAATAAGATTTTTATTTTTTTTCTGAAGTAGGAATTAAAATGTATATACATTATCAAACATGGTCATGTACATTACCAAAAAGCATAGTAATGTGCACATGTACAGTGTCACATTACAACTACATTACCACGCTGCAAAGTTCTATTTCGGGAATAAAAACATGAAACTTTTATTTTAATACTTTTTTCTATGTTTTAGTCCTATTTAGGACAATTTCTATTGAAAAAACTTCAAAAAAAATAATGAGGAGTTTTATATTTTATATATCAATCTTACGATCATGGAAGTATGACTTTTCAAAAAAAAAGATTGCTTTATTAACTAATATTTAGGGTGTGTTTGAGAGCGTATTGACCTAATGATGATAGATAAATTTTTAAGGGAGAAAGACCAATGTAGGACTAAAACATTGAAAATATACCAAAATAGGACTTCCATGTTTTTTTTCGAAATAGGACTTACATTACCAAACATTGTCATATACATTACCAAAAAAGTATAGTAATGTGCACATATACACTGTCACATTACCACAAGGAAAAGTCACATTACCACAGTGCAAAATCCTATTTCGAAAAAAAAACATGAAAGTCCTATTTTGGTACTTTTCTCTATGTTTTAGTCTTATTTAAGGTGATTTCTAAATTTTTAATTTCTAAATTGTTCATTAAAGATTTTTTGTCATGTCACTAATGTGAGATTTAAAACATTTGGAAGTATTCATAAAAGATTAGTGATATTATTGTAATAGATTTATCAAAAAAGGAAAATGAAAAAACTAGTTAAAAATAAGTATGTACTCCATATAACTTATTTAGTCTTTTAAATTTATGAGTAGTTTATGAGTCAAATTATAAAAGACTATTGAACACATTATCAACACATTATAAGTTAAAAATAACTTCTAAGCTGTTTTGTCAAGCTTATACGCATAAACAAACATTCACTTATAGCCTTTGCTCTGAGTATGATCTGATTATGTCTGATTTAATTGAACTAATGTCTGATATAGTCTGACCTCATTATAATTATATTTAAAGCTACTTTATGATGTGATCTAATATAATTGCTATAAAAACAAGTACATGTATTAAGCAATGCTCCTTCCGGTCCAAAAAATATTTTCTGTGTTGACTTTTTTTAGGTCAAATAATAACACACTTTGACTACAAAATTATGAGAAAAGTATATTTAATAATAATATAAATTGAATATAATTAGGTTCATCTTAATATATAGTTTTGATATATCAAATTTTCAAAATGAGTAGTAAAATTGAGTAAAAAATGAATAATGTTTGACCCTATAAATAACATGTTGAAAAATCTTGAATACTTTGTATGAAATAAAATGTGACAATAACATTTTATGGACAATGCTAGAAACTCACCACATATGCTCCTATAAATGACAATATAAGTGATTTTATATCTACATAGATACAGAGTAATAGTTAATAATCAGTTTTGTTCACATATAATTATCGTTTGTATATATATAAAATCATACGTATTGACAGTATTATCATTGGTGGAGGCATGAATGGTGAGTTTGTAACACGATTCATATAATAAAACTAGGGCCTCACCATATGGCTCTTATTAAGGGCGACTCCATGTGGCATAGACAATTATCGTTTGTGTGTCTGTGCAAAGTATGAGGATACTCGTGGTAGTGACACTATATTTTTCTAACAAAAGTGCTAGGACTATACCTGAAATGTGCCTCAAATGTACATCACTCTCTCCATTATTATATATTCTGGCATGTAAAATAAAAAAGAAGTAAATAAATAAAAATGAGTGATAATGTAATGCTAGCATTCCTTTTCCCGATGATTGAAAAATCGGCCCGGTTCTAGTGACACCAGAGAATGGTGCCACTCTGGTGTCACTGCGTTTTTGGGCACCTCCGGTGTTCCATTCGTAAAATTGACGGTTCCTACCCCCTAAACTCCCACCCTACCCCACCCCTGCACCCCACCCCACCCCTGCCGTAAGCTCCCCACCCCCACCCCGCCGTAAGCCCCCACAAAATGTGTGGCTATTATGCAATGCATAATAGCCACACATTTTGTGGGGAGCTTACGGCGGAGTTGGGGTGGGGTACAGGGGTGGGGGATTTAGGGGTGAGTTAGGAGGTGCATGAAACGTAAATTTTACGAACGGAGTACCGGAAGTGTCCAAAAATGCAGTGGCACCACTCACTAGTGACACCGTTCTCTTTCTGTCACTAGAACCCCAAGTTGAAAAATACATAAATTGATTCGGGATCTAAGAAAAAAACGCATAGGATACGCGGGGCTGGGGTTTTGTGATCGGAAACAAGAACGCCGATCCGGTGACCTGAATCTGGAGGCGACTTCACCGACGGGACTGGGATCCTGGAAGACCTCTGAGCAGCGGCTACAACCGTGACTTGGGGAGTTCAGATTCAGACGCGCGGTTCCTCATCTTCTTCCACTCTCAGGGTTTAATTCTCCCCCCTTTTCTTCAATTATGTCGATTTTTACACCCATTGGTGTTGAATTTAACATCCTCTTAGCTTAAATTCCATAGCTAGGGCAAGGATGAAGCTCATCCCAAATTTATCCAGCAAGCTTTTAACTTTTAAGTAGAGCAATCAATCATGGGACTTTCATTACTTTATGAAAGCAAAAAATCCAACAGCGTTAAAATCAATCTAATCGGAATCAATTAACACAAAACATATTCCATATACCAAAATAGATTTTCAATATACCAAAACATATTCACTCGTTGATGCTGCCTTAGGGTTTTTCATTTGTTGGATTAGAGTCCAATTAGAATTTATACTGTGCCGGGTTAATTGAGTCCAATTAGATTTTAATGTTGTTAGATTTTTTTTTTTAACTTTCATAAAGTAATGAAAGCCCCATGTTTGATTGCTACTTAAAAGTTAAAAGCTTATTGCTAGATGGTGGTTTTGTTTTGTTGCATTTCTGGTTTTGATGTAAAATGGAGTTTATTTGGTTATGCTGATGAAGACAAGACCTTAGTTGAATAACGTACGGAGTACTATTTTTTCAACTAAATATTACACCGTATTTCTTTCATTCTAAATTTTTCTTCCTTGTTAAGAAAGAATTGTGTGGGTGCAGTTAATTTGATGATGATATCCTTAAAAAAGAAATGGGAAGAAATCTTTAGGATGCAAACAAGTTTCCTATTGTCAAATACTCTGCATTATCTTTGGTCTATCTACTTCTGGAGGACCAGTGTGCTTGGAATTACTGGCTTTCTTGTTTGGTTCTGTTTTCCTAGGACACAAGTGTTTCTATGAACTACTCCAATTCACTGGCTTTTAAAAAAAGGAATTACTACTGGGTTTTCATCTCATCACTACATATAATGTCAGACAAACCTTTTGTATCTATGCACTTTTATTTTTTTCGGAATGCAGAAAGATGTATGCTAACAATGAAGATGGGGGAGCTCAGGATGCTGCAGAAAGGGTTAAGACGGCTGCACTAACCGCTGCGAAAGGTATGAGTCGTGCCCAGGCAGAACGGGCAGCTGCAGCTGCAGCTAGGAATGTGAATGCGTACGGCCAGAAGGAAGAGGGGCCCAGCAGATGGCAAGAAAGAAAAGAAGCAAAGAGACAGATGTATCTGATGAGCACAGAGAAACAGGTGAGACTGGGCGTGAGGAAAGATGTCAAAAGCTCTGTGACCTCTGCTGGTGTCTCATCTTCTTCTCAATGTCAAAAGTGTTTCCAGACCGGGCACTGGACCTATGAGTGCAAGAATGAGAGGGTTTACATCTCACGTCCATCTCGCACCCAGCAGTTAAAAAACCCAAAACTGAGAATGAGGGCACCTGTTTCTTATGATCTGGAGGAGGAGGAAGAGAAGAACCCAGAAGATGCCGAGAAGGAGAAGAAGAAGAAGAAGAAGAAGAAGAAGAAGAAGAGTGATTTGAAAGATGTGAAGAAGAGTAAGAGAAAGCATAAATCAGATACAGACGAGTCCAGTGGTGGGAGTAGTGGAAGTGAAGCTTCAGTTTTTGAATCTGAAAGTGGTGGGACAGGGTCTGGTTCTTCTTCCTCGGGAAGAGGGAGTGAGACGAGTTCTTCCTCTGACTCAGAGGAAGAGAGGAGGAGGAGGAGGAGGCAGAGGAGCAAGAAGAAGACCGTGCAGCAGAGGAAAAGAAGACACCGGAGGCGCAGCAGCCCGACCACATCCGAGTCCTCTGATTCATACTCTGAGGATTCAGAATCAGACTCGGAGGATCACTCTAGCAGAAAGAGGAGCAGCAGTAAGAGGGAGAGTCGAAAGCGCTGAGGCATTTAGGATTTTCAAAACACGTTTGCTCCCATTTGAACTCGCGGGGTACTTTGGATCAATTCATTCTTATTATGTCTTTGTTGTTGGTAAGTTTCCCCTTAAAGGGACATGGCTTCCTAATCACTCCCTATATTCACAATTAACTGGTCATTATGTGTTTTTTTCCTTTCATTTTTTATGTTATACTCTCTGCAGCAACTGCCATGACCTTGGTTTGACTTCCCGCAGTGAAGAAAATGCTTTACTCACTCATTCCATTTCATATTAAATGACTATTATGGCTTTTTTGATACATTGAAAAATGAATACATGTATACATTATGTCTATATTCGTTCATTTTTTCGATGTATATAAAGAGTTACAATGGTCAGTTAATATAGAATGAAGGGAGTACGTTTTACTCGTAAATATAAAAAACGAAATTTGAAAATTGTTTGTTTGTTTAGCTCAGGCTTCAGAACACACTGAATACACTATCACAAAGAGTTGCAAAGGAAATCCTTAACCTTATTGGATGGTTTGAATTCGAATACTCCATATGATATTTGAACTCAAATAGTTTCTTATATAGATCTGTATTCTATAAAAATTTCAATATTTCAAAATTATGTTTCAAAAGTAATGTTTTGATATCACATTTGTATCATAAGAAACATTACCTACACTTTTTTGTATGTTGAGGGGAAAAGTTTATAAACTTTGACAAAAAAAGGTCAGTATTACATTTTAAATGAATAATGAAATCAAACGAAGAAAGTGATTTAAAATTTGGCCCTAGAATAGTGAGTGGAAAAAGGGACAGAGGATTATCGAAAATTTTGTGCGGACGACGTCAAAACAACGTTAACTATGAGGCGTTAATTAGGAAAGAAAAAAAGGTCATGTCCAACTCCCAAGATTCTCCACTGCTAGTTAAAGCAGTAAGTTAGAAATAGTTAAACTAGATTATAATTTCGGTCTGATCGAGAGTGAGTGAGATGTATTCCATTTGGAATTATCACATTATAATCATCATTTTTTTAGTTATCAGGATTTAAATCCGTGTTAAATTTGTAAATGTGATACTACCCTCTCGACGAGATGAAGTGTGCTAAAAAGCGAGGGAGTAATTAGAAAAAAACAATAAGTGGGAGACCTTTGCAACATGGCTTCATTGCATCTTTCATGTTGAAAAGAAGGGTCTATTTCAGAATAACTTTAAAGATTAGCGTTAGCATTTTGAAAATCCTATCTACGAATAGCGTTTAACGTTAGCATTTTTAAAGTAATCTGCACCATTAAAATTTTATCCAAAACGCTGACGCTAATCTCTAACACTATTTCCAAACAGGCCTGAAGATGGACTTGGCCATTGCCATTTGCCTACTCAATATGTACCATATACTTTGTATCAAAATCAACTTCCTAATTTGATTTTTATAACGATTTTGATTTTAAATATATAATATTTAATACTCTCTCCGTCCCATAAAGATAAGGACATATTGACTAAAGTGGTAAAATAAGGGAGGGATAATTTTGTGTTGATTTTCCAAAAATACTTTTGATGTGATGAGTAAAAGTATGATGTGATGTGTAAATTATTAGAAAAAAGGTATGATGTGATATGTAAGGTATGCAAAAGTAATGGGTAAAAGTGATTTTTAATATAATTGGGAAGGACTTTTGGGGACATGGTTTTTTTGAAACGTTAAAGACTTTTTGGGACGGAGGGAGTATAATTAGTTTATCTTTGAAGTAGTTTTAATATACTCCGGTATCAACTTTTAATTTCATATCAAAAGTATATGACAAAAAATGAAAGACATGTATTTTAAATTTATTTAGAATAGAGAGAAATTTGAAAAACTACTCCGTACATATATTTATTTTCTAAAAGGGAAAATGTAAAAAATATAAATTTCATTTTATGACATCCAAAAAAGTGAAATATTAATTTTATTTTTGGATGAGGGATAAATTTTTATGGTAATTGTATCTTGGGATTCTTGGACACTTCCAATGCGAGAGGGAGTGCTTTAGCAATGGGGGTACTTGCCCCCCAATTGTATCTTGGTATTCTTTGACACCACCCCACCATCCACCCCCTCCCCTTCTCTTTCTGAGTCGCTGATTTGGGTAGTCTAAATTGGCGATTCAGATGGCGCAATGGGGGGAGGGTGCAAGTTTTTTTTTTTGGGGGGGGGAGGGGGGGAGGGAGAAAGGTTAGGAGAGACAGAAACCATTAATTTTATCAACGAAGTATCATAGATGTTTCGTGTCATAATATGCCCCGAGGTTTCAAGGTAAAAAAACTGTTGTGTAATAAGTAATTTCTTATGTTGATTTTTTAATGATTAATTGGATTTATAAATAAACTTGGTAGAAGAGTACATGTATAATACAATTATATGTTAGATAATTAATGAAATATAAATAAAGTTAATGAAATAAAAGATGGTAAATTTTTGATGTGGCAAAGTCTGAGAGAGTTTGAGAATTGGGATTTGAGGTAACGTTTTTTAAAAGTTTGGGCAAGAGTTTGAAATGGTAAAATATTGACGTGACAGAGCCTGAGATAGTCCCAAGACTCCCTGCATTGGGGATGCCCTCTAGTATATTACTCTCTCCGCCCAACAATTGATCACTTCGTACAATGTTTATTATTCCAAAATCACGATAACTTTATTTATTTATACATTTTCATTGATTATTTGAAAAAATAACATGTTTTTGCCGCCTTTTGTTTTATAAAACTATTGATGCATTTTTTTAATTTGTAAATTTCATTTTTTATTTATTTCTCAATGTTTAAATAAAATTAATTTAAAAAACTTGAGATTTTTCTTCGTTTTCCGCAATTTGTAATCAAAATAGGGACATAATAGAGTAGATTCTTATAGGAATACTACTAGTAGTACTTTGAGAAATTAGCTGCAAAACCTGTCACAATAGAGTCTGTAGCTCAGTATCCTCAACTCATCAGGTTGATATAATAATGAACAGACAATTAGGCACAACAAGAAAATAACATAAAATAAAATAAAAGTTTCACCGCAAGCCGACCACATCGTCTGCTATATGTTTACTCGTATATTGTTACATACACTTAGACTGAAATTTATAGAGTAGATGATGATGATGATGATGATGATGATGATGGATTACTCTCTTGTACATTTTCAACAACCACTTCTTCCTCGATCTCATCGGCGTCTTCTTCTTCCTTAACAGCCTCGTCCTCTGCAACAACTCGGGCTGTGCCACCTTCTTCGGTCGCAGTATTGTTGGGGTTGTTATGTTCAGTGACATTGTTAAACACTGGCTGTTTTTCCATGATTCCAGATAGAGCCAGACTCGGGGACCACTCGATCACGTCATCGATGATGTTGGACACCCGCCTTTGATACCTGCAGCAAATTTTGACCCCAAAGTCAACAAAAATTTGTGGGGTGCAATTGGAGGGGATGTGGGCTTACCCGGTGTGTTTGGGGGGGGGGGTAAGAACTGTCAATTTCTTGAACGGGACACTATAGTACCCCCAAGTCATCCCATGACATTGGTTCTTGATGTCATGGGAACCGCCACCAATTTATATATGAATTACTCAAGTTTGCAAGATGGTAAGATCAGACTTGAGGACTCATTCCCAAACAAACTTGAGAGCAGAAAACTCACAACAATACCATAAAACAGAAGAAAAACAAACCCGGTAAAATCCCACAAACAGTATGGTCTGGGGAGAATGTGGGTACGTAAACGTTGCCCCTACTCAGAAGTAGAGAGATTGTCTCCAAGAAATCTTGGCTCAAAGACAGATGCACAAACAGAGTAAACACATGAAGCACACAAACTGATACTAGCAATTAGAACCCATGCAACAGAAGGCACACATCCATAAGCTACAAACTAGGGTACAAATGCACCACCATAAACTACAACAAACTAAAGCCCAAAATTGTACCCAACTACTCTAACAAAAAATCTAGAAATAAGTACGGAGTATAATTTTTGAAAGTTATAGTCAAAGATTTTACTGTTACTCATCCTTTCTTTATTTAGCAACTGCTTAACGCTTATTTTTCAAGTTTCAGTAGTTGATTGTTCTATCCCGTTTTTATATGTTCTTGAGGCCCAAGTCTTTCGAAAATAGTCTTTGTACAATTGTACATCCACCCTCTCCAGACCCTGCTTGTGGGACCTTACTAGGTTGTTTTCATAACCAAAGTTTGATTTCTCTTGGTACTTTCCAAGGTAAAATAAAGAGAAACATAGAACACCAATTTCATTCATTCTCCCACCAATTTTTGGGCTTCAAGCATAGCCCTAATGATTTTGATGTCTTGCAATACAAAATATACATATATGAGTCAGCTTACCTGGCTCTTGCAGCCTCATCAGGAGCATGATGTCTCAGAAGCAATATGGCAAGCACAGACACAATTGCATAGAATAGCCTTGCTGACCACTTAGGTGGCTCCTCTTCATCTTTCTTGGACCATAATTGGAATAAATCTTCCAGAGTTGCTTCTTCAGCAAGTATGTTGGGGAAAACCCAAACTCGCTTTCCCAGAAGGATATATATAGCACCAAAAGTCAATGCCCTCACTGCAATGTTATATGAATCCCTCAATTTATTACTGCATTAATTATGTGAATCAATAACCCAAGAATAATCAAAGCAGTTTTTTTTATCATAGAGTATTAAAAGGAGTAGAATGAGCCTAGTCAAAGATAAACACGACCTCATCTCTTGAGTATACTTTTACAGTGACTTAGACCCAATTTATCACTAAACAAGACATAAGCATTAGATAACTTACCTAAAAGAAGGCAAAGTATGAGGAGGAGGAGACTTGCACATGAGTAGAGTATAACTAGCTTGCACTTATGAGGATATACGGGAAATAAGCAGATTGCTAGGGTCAATACTGGCCAGGAAAATGAGAGAAGTGTCTGCCAAAGGGCACTTCGTTTTGCAAATGTCCATGCAAAAAAGGCATCATTTTCAGAAAAGACTTGATCCTGCATACATATAAGGAAATAGTGACATATAGAAATACAAGTATTCATAACCTTAGAGACAAAGTGGAGATTTTTTATAGATCAAGATTTAAAAAAACCAGCAGTAAGATTAAGCATATGAAGGTGTCAATGAGGCATCACTACAAGGCATTCATACACTATGTCACTATCTAGTACTCCCTTTAAAAGAAGTTCACATTTGCGTTTTCACCGAGTTTAAGAAAAAGTGAAAAAGGAAAGCAAGAAGTTCTATTAGGGACAGAGGGAGTATTATTGTATGCATAGATATGAATATAAGATAGACTAGATAAGTTATAATGATCAAACAATATCCACATCATTCACACAGAAGCACACTTGCACAAACGATCATGATAGACTAGAACATACATGGTATATCTCCAAATGTGCTGGCCAAGTAGACAGTTTTTTCTTTCCTGGTCGTAGAGTTTTTACCACGCGGTCACAACGCATTAGTAAATTCTTTCGAAGCAGAGCATTTGCAATATCGTCAGTTTCCATACTTTTATCTGATTCAAGTATATCTTTGAGTTCTGGATGTTTCTTCAAAAAGTTTACAAGGTCCTTTCCCCTGAAATACTCTACTCTAGTCTCCTGAAGGACAGCCCATCTAGACGTAAAGTCCTTGTGATCTCTCACTTTCTCAGCAAATACCTGATAAACATCCTTCTTTGCAGCCTGTTTCTGGAATTGAAAATGAACACGTAGGAACATAGATTACAGTGTAATAGGGAAAATCATGTATCAGAAATTACAACAAGCTGAGTAGAATCCCAAAAGACACTAGGGCGTGTGTACGCAGATCTTCCCCCTACTTAGACCTAGACGGGTTGTTTAAAAAACAACCCCGACTCCTCTAATCCAAAACCTCTGTGCATTCCTATTTAAGGACATATTATCAAGTCGTAAATCTTGTCTAATGACATCCCTCCAACTCTTCGTGGGTGTGCCCCTACTCTTTCACACGCCCACTACTACAAGTCTCTGTAGGCAAAAAACAAGAAAAAATTACAACTGCATTGATTTAGACAGTAAAGGTCCAATAAAAACATGAAAAAATTGATGAACATTTTGGCGCAAGATCATTGAGCGTTAAGCCAAAATTTCATTTTTTTTAATTTTTTTATCACCGGAAGCGGCCTGATAGGATCAGCCTGCCTACATGACTACCTGTGGTGCTTGAGCCCGGGGTCTCTTTGGAAACATCCCCCGACCCTACTCTTGTGGGATTCAACTGGGTTGTTGTTGTCACCCGAAGCGACCCGTTAGGTGCACATATTCCACTTTTTCATTGAAACTCAAATTCATGTTATACCTAATCAGTCATCCATGAGTACCCCTAATGTCAAGGTTTGTATTTAAAAATAAAATTCTGAAATCTAAGGGGAATAAATGGTAGGCCCTAGACAGAGTACCCTTCCGAATTAAATAATCTTGTTGAACATCATTTCAGAATCTCGAAGGAAAAAAAACAAGATTTTGCGTATAAATCATTGTCCTCTTCAAGAGCAAAACGAGATTTTTCATAGCATTGGATTGATTCCCCGACAAAAAAACAGCATTTCCCTCAAATTTCACGGATCTGTGATTAATAAAACTGCAATTCCTAGATTGAAAAAATCGCGGAAATGAGAACACACATGAATGCGCAGGTTCATAGATATGGAAGTTCGAGCGAGACGGCGTGGGGGTTACCTTCGGAGGAGAATCGGCGGTGGAATTCGAACCGTTGGCGCCGGCGCCGGTGGCAGATCGCCGGGCCCGCTTCTTCTCTGCTCCACCGGGCTTCTTCATCTCTCTCACAGTGAACTGTTGCCGCAGATGCACCCCGTCTAAGTTGAAACCGGGCTTACGGTTTTTTTTCATTTTCTTTTTGCTGAATCAAACACGGCTTAATTGTAATGGATCTGGTTTAAGGCTATGTTTGGCATGTAAATGCAAATAAAATTAATTTTGTTGTACATCAAATTATTCATTGAGAAAAAGAAATCATGTATTTATAGACACACACTCCCTCCACCGTAAAATGTTTACCATATTTCGAACAACGTGAAAAATACGGATCATTTTTTTAAAAATTATTTTATTTAGAAATTGATAGATAAATAAAAAATATAAATTAAAGCGTTCAAAAGTCATCAAAGTTCTACAAAACAAAATGTGACAAGAAATATTTAATTTTATCAATTCATCACCAGAAACGAGTAAATAAACAGAAGTTATCGAGAGGCCAAATGGTGACCGTGGTAATTTTTTTAGGATGAAGGGAGTATATATATATATATATATATATATATATATATATATATATATATATATATATATATATATATATATATATATATATTCTTTTATACTCCCTTTGTACCTAAATCATTTATGCTTTACGCAAAACGAAGTAAAATTTCACATTTTTCAAATCATGTTTTTAAAAATTGGTATATAAATGAAAAATAAAATTTACATATTTAAATAGTACATTAAAAGTTCTATAAAACAAGATATGACAAAAATATATTATTTCATCAAATACTTAATAGAAATACACAAAAAATAAAAGTTCTTGCGTTTTTTAAATAGTGAAGTGTGTAAATCCATTACGAACGAAAGTAGTATATAATTTTAAATTCCACGCTCTAAGAAGCTGCCATTTGGTACTCTTTAAGGCTTGATTTTTTGGCACACGTCGCCACACGTCTCTTCAAGTCTTTATAGCGTAAGAACCTCTTCACCGACTCATTCACCGAAGAAAATTATCCAAAATAGAGACTCATGTCGGTGCGGCTGATCCTCTCTCTTGATCTCTTCATCACGGAAGGACTTCTTCACCGACTCATTCACCGAAGGAAAATCTCGAAAATTATGTAGTCTCTTGTTTAGTGAAGAAAATTATCGAAAATATCAAAATTACCAAAATTGAGGTCAATGGTTATTCAGTCGATCCTCTCTCTGAATTGATATCCAAAATTGAGATACGTCTCTTCCTCGCATAAGGAAATTATCGAAATTACCATAATTCAGATTCATTTTTGGGTAAAAAAATGGTGCAATAATTCCTTTCAATTGGGTTTTTTCCCTAAATCCATATCTAGTTGTTATTCAATTCGTATTCTTCTTGAATTATACCTTAATTTGCTTTGTATTCCTCAACTGTTTAGTGAGATGCTTGCCTCTTAAAGATGTCTTTGCCTAATCTGTTGAAGAATTGAAGTTATTGATTGTGTTTCTTAATATTCAAAACTATACTCCAAGATTATTTTTTTGAAGTTAAAGTTCTTCCCCTTTTGTCTTTTTTCTCTAAAAACAAAGTATCCTTAAAGATAAAAATAATACTTTTGGATTGCTTTATGTATTTTGGAGCTGGAAAAAATGGAAAATTAACTTTTCAAACCCAAATGAGTAGACGATAGGGTGTCAAACTTATGAGTTGTGTTAACGTGAAATTAAGATTTATATGTGAAATGTAAACCTTCTCACAAATTTTCAATAAACTCATAGTTGGATCTTATTTTTTTTACAAGACTAAATACATTTAATCATTTTTTACATTAACATTCATATAATGAGTGTGGATCTGAGGAATTATTTGGCTTGTAATAAGATAGAGCATCTATTAAAAACGAAAAATGTGAAACTTAAATATTAGTGTAACTATCATTTTTCTTGAAGGTTGCCTTTTCTCTGAAAAATTTATTGATAATATTTTAAAGTGCTACGTATTTGTTTAGTTAGACTTTTGATAATCAAATTATATAAATTTTAACAATCACTTACATGAAAACTACAGTTTATGTTTATAAAATGAAATGGCTTATATAAGATAATTTTAATTAGATGATTATATGATAGCAAAATTCATCTAATTTGATTTTAAAAGATCAAAGTTGAAAAATTTGTCCAATTTTTATACTATGAGCATCTCCAACTACATCATTTTAGCTTGTTAAAAGCAAGTCAAGTCCTTTATAGGTGGAGGGAGCACACACACACGCATCTTTTCCTCTATATATACTTTTTAAACTCCAGACTCTAAGAAGCTACCATTTGGCACTCTTAGGTTTGGTTTTTTGACACATAATGTCACCACGTGTCTCTTCTAGTTTACATCGCGTAAGGACTTCTTCACTGACTTTTTCACTGAAGGAAACTATCCAAAAAAGAGATCCATGTCGGTTCGGCTGATGATCCTCTCTCTTGATCCCTTCATCACGCAAGGACTTCTTCACCGACTCATTCACCGATGGAAAATTACGCAGTCTCTTCTTTAGCGAAGGAAACTATCGAAAATATCAAAATTACCAAAGTTGAGATCCATGGTTATTGACTGATCCTCTCTCTTAATTGATATCCAAAATTGGGACATGACTCTTCTTCACCTAAGGAAATTATCAAATTACCGTAATTCATATTCATTGTTGGGATAAAACAATTTCTTTGGTGCAACAATTCTTGTAAATGGGGGGTTTTGTCTAAATTCATATGGAGTATCTAATTGTTATTCAATTGGTATTCTTCTTGAATTGTACCTTAATTTAACGTGTATTCCAGAATTGTCGGAGTGAGATGCTTGCCTCTTAAGGGCCTATTTGCTTAATCTGTTGAAGACTTGAAGTTGTTGATCGAGTTGCTTAATAATGTTCTAAATTATACTCAGGGATTATTTTTTTGAAGCTAAAGCTCTGCCCTTTTTTTATTATCTTTTTTTCTCTAAAAAACAAAATATCCTTAAAAGTAAAAACAATACTTTTGGATTGCTTTATGTATTTTGGAGCTAGAAAAAATTAAAATTTAACTTTTCCAATCCAAATGAACAGACGCTAGGGTGTCAAACTTATGAATTGTGGTATAGTGATCTTAAGGCCTAGATGTGAAATGTATAGTAGACATTCTCATAAATTTTCAATGAACTCATAGTTGGATGTCATTTTTTACAAGACTTAATACATTTAATCATTTTATATATTAAGATTCATATAGTGAGTGAGGACCTGAGGACTTATTTGGTTTGTAGTAAGAGAGAGCTTCTATTAGATACGAAAAATGTGACCTAAATATTAGTGTAACCTAAATTTTTCTTGAAGGTTGCCTTTTCTCCGAAAAATTTATTATCTCTAATATAAAGTACTACGTATTTGTTTAGTTAGACTTTTGATAATCAAATTATATAAATTTTAACAATCACTTACATGAAAACTACAATTTATGTTAATAAAATGAAATGACTTATATAAGATAATTTTAATGAAATGATTATATGATAACAAAATTCGTCTGATTTGATTTGAAAAGATGAAGTTTGAAAAGTTCGTCCAATTTTTTTTATACTAAGTGCATCTCTAACTATGTCATTTTTTGGTATGTACAAAAAATCATATCATTTTGGCTTGTTAAAAGTTATAATAAACGACTTTTGCTTCAAAGAGCGTGCTATAATAAATGATTTTGGCTTGTTCATCTTCAAAGGGTATGCTATATTTTAATGAGCTTGCCAATTAATGACTTTGGCTTGCTAAATATAACAAACTCTTCAAATTATAACAAGTCTATTGTTAAAAAAATATAATATCAAGTTATTGTTGGAGCCACCCTATGTGTAACTATCTACAGATCATTAATATTTCCTTTGCTGATGACCTCATTGTGGTCTGTAAGGAAGAAAGCAAATCAATACAGTGTATGAATGTTTTGGAAAAATTTAAAAGTACATTTGGCCTAAAATCAACACAGAAATCTCATATTGTCTTTGGAGGGGTGAATCAACAGAAGAGGGAAGAGCTACTTAATCTTACTAACATGAAACTGGGTAACCTACCTTTCACATATCTTGGTTGTCCTTTACAACTGCAAGATTAAAAATGGGTGACGGTGAAGCTCTGATAAATAAGCTCACAAACAAGATTTCCGCCAGGGGGGTCTAGACATTTTTCATATAGTGCCAGGATCAGAATCATAAATTCAGTGCTTATGGATATAATAACTTTCTGGTCAAGAATATTTATTATGCGTAAACATTGGGAAAGTAATGGCTATCTGTAGAAACTTCCTTTGGAGTAACTCTCATGAATACAAAAGAGTCCCTTTGATTCAATGGGAGGAAGTCGGTCAAAAGAAGAAATTTAGAGGGTTGAGGATTAATAATACCTTGAATTGGAATAGAGCCATAATAATGAAGTTAAATTGGGATATTGCGGAGAAAAAGAGCATCTTATGGGGAAATGGATACATAGTAGATATATTAAAGGTGCCAAGTTCTAGGACTTCATACCAAACCTGAATTCTTTCCATTACTGGAGGGAAAAGATCAAGGTGATGAATATTTTTCGGGATATGAATAACAGAGAAGCTTATTCCATCATGGCAAGTTATGAATGGTTGCAAGGGGATAAAATCATCCATAAATGGAGAAATTGGATCTGGAACAAGCTTACTCCTCACAAGTTTTAGATTTTCTTTTGGCTTTTGATTAGAGGTAGATTACAAATCAAGGAGAGACTGAGCAGGTTCCTCCCAATAGGTATTGTAACGAGACTTTTGGAATCTTTTGTAATGAGAGTTGTGCAATTTGGGCTGCTTGTGTGTATGGAATTTGGAGAGCAAGGAACAATACTTTTCATAAGAGGGTGTTTCTTTGATACCCAAACAAATGAGAGGGCATGGATGCCCCTCCATGAATATGTTGCCATGTGGATTTAGAATCATGTCAATTATTAATCCTTACATGGCATTTTAATTTTCGAAAATTGCATATTGGCCCTGCCGCCTCCCCCTTAACTCTATAAAATTGTCAACTATTTAACTTGTTTCCTTTGTGATCTTTTATTTTATTTTTTTCATATAAAATCATCTAAAATAAAAATAAAGTGTAAACTTTAACTTAAAAATAGGAATAACATATTTTTATATTTAAAATATGAGTTTTTACTGTGACAATGTGACATATTCTATTGAGATACCGTACCACAATGTTTCTAGTCAGGTATTATTTTTTTAAAATTGTGCTCTTTATGATTTAAAAAAAATATTTTTATATTTGAAATAGAATATAAATGAAATGGAAAAAATTACATATACTTGGACTATAAAGACTAAATTATATTAACTTATTATTTTCTAAATTAAAAGTATTTTTTTGGAGCATTACAAAAGTAAAACAATGAGTAGGAAAAGAAATTGAAATAATAGAAAAATAGAATAAAAAAGAAATGAAAAAAAATGTTTATACAAAAGATGAAAAAGGGAGACATGTAGTGACATGATAAGGTTTTTTTAGGATGTCCAAAAATAATAATCTTTAGATGTTCCAAAAAGATTTTTCTTATTTATTTTAAAAAATAAAAAGAGGATTTTTTTAATGAATTTGTTGAGTGTCAGTCCAAAACAATATCTTTATTCTTTTTTGGTTTTTCATTTTGAACTTACCAAAATGAAAGTTTGGCCTAAATTTGCGTCAAAAGTTTGACGCTGCAAGAATGGTGGTGCAATAACGAGAAAGGAGGGCAGTGTTTAACGTCCCCATGAATCAAAACCAGCTTAACGCCAGTGGGCGTCAGTGGTATTTCCACTGCTCTAAGAATAAGTAATACTGAGTAAGTAGAAAAAGTAAAATGAAAAGAATGCATCCGAAGAGAATGAAAAAAATTACTTTTTTCGTCTCAAATTAATTTGCTTGTTAACTATTCACATGGTCAAACTTTATTTATTTTATTTTTCTGTTTTCATTACTCTTTTGATAAATAATATAGTCATATCATCTATTTTTTGTTGAATTTTTATATAATTTTTAATAAGTAAAATTCATTTTTTAATGTTGTTCTAACTTCCTAATAAATTATACTTCCGGGTATTGAAAATAACTTTATTTAAAAATCATAAATCAAAATTGATAATTTAAATTAGATAGAGAAAGTACTCTCTAAAAATAGAGTATAATTTCTCTTTTTAAAAACATAAAATGGAGTACTAAGTAGGGAGTAATAAGTATGAATGTATGATAACCAAAGTATGACAATGGAAGTGAAAAAATGGGACAATGAAAATGAAGGGAAGACGTAACAAGCGAATAGGGTCTTTTTAGAATTTCTAAAAATTGTAATGATGTGGAGTCATTTACTTGATTAGTCCACATGACATTAATTCAGTGGAAGGGTATCCATGCCCTCTCCTTTGCTTGGGCATGGGAGAAACACCCTTCATAAGAAGATGATACACGAAAAGGACACCATCAATTATGTTATTGCTTACTTAAACAATTTTTTCTCTTATAAAAGCTATTAGAGTGAGTAATACTGTTTTATGCGTGGATTGTATGCTACACTAGTGATTTGGTAATAAATTGTACTTACGATGCAAAAAAAAGTTACTGTTGGAGAATGGAATAAAAAGATACTTGTTATATCATTATTAACTTGATATAATGTAAAAATAACAAGTTCATATAGCAGCCTAGCAGGAAAGGTTAGAGATGCTCTAAGGATTCAATTAGAATGCATTACTCTCTATATATTCCCTTCGTCTCGATTTAATCTTCTCATTTAATTTTTCGTCGTCTCCAATGTAACACTTTATAATCATTAATATCAATATTTATGCATAGATATATTTTATAAAATTTTAAATATTTCAAAATTACATTTCGAAATAAGAATATTAGTATTACATTTACATCAAAATACAATGTATTTTATCCGCATATCAATGTAAAAGGCTTACAAAAGAGAATATTTTATCAAGTTACCGAAGAATAGATGGTCAATATTTGTACATCCCACGTCCTAAATTAATCATCCTTTTTTGTATTGTCTCAAATTAATCTTTTTTGGAAAGTTTTATTTGGCTCACCTTTTTTTCTTTCTCTTTTGTATCACTTTCAATCATATAATATAATTTCATCTTTTCTTAAGTTTCATGCTAAGTTAGACTAAGAGGGTTAGTTTTGGACGGATGAAGTATTAATATGATATTTATTGCGTCATAAAATGATCTTCCCAGTTGGATTTACGAAGTTTGATTTAAATTATTTTCAATTCAATTTGTTTGATTATATGTGCAAAATTAAAAAATAAAAACTGTATATTTTAAAACTACATAAAAAAATTTACAAAATATGAGGTGAAATGACTATATTATTTTATGAAATAACCAACGAAAATAAGTAAATAAAGTGATTAAAGTTTGACCATGTAAATAGTGACTAGGAAAGTCATTTTAAAGCGAAAGGAGTATTTCAAAATGTGAAGATTGGTTAGCAAATAGACTTTGGCGACTCAAGGATTAATTGCCCATTAATTGAAATTAATTACAAACGGTAGAAAAATACAAACAACAAAAAAGTTTTCAAAAAAAAAAAATACAAACAACAAAAAAAAACCGAGTTTTTAAAAACACTGATCCAAATACGTTTGAGCACAACAACGTTGAGCCAGCCTTCGTTGGGACGACAAGCCAAAGGAGAGGGAGGAAAAGCAGAAAAGTAAGACATAGATAGAGAGAGAAAGGGGGGGCTTCAATTCTAGAAAGAAAGAGATAGAGAGAGAGAGAAAAGCATGAAGAAGAAGAAGAAAGAAAGAAAAAAAAGTGAGAGAGAAAAAGAGAGAGAGATTTAGAACCCCTCTCCATATGTGATAATATGTGATAATACTCCATATGAAAATTTTTAAAGATATTGATGCAGAGTATTCAAGGATGCAGACAGATTCTGTAGATTCTTCAATTGATAATCCTCTATTTGCAAAAGCAGAAATAAAAGGTACTTATGAATTTTATTGGAAGCATGCACGTTATGTAAATCCAAAATAAACTAAAATACATGGTTAAATTGTGTTTTCTTACTTATTTCTATAGAATATTTGGATTTTGGTGATCCATCAATGACCTGTGAATTTTGTGGAGCTTTGTTGTGGTATGAGGAAAGGGCCGAAAAGTCTAGAGACACTGCACATCCGGAATTCTCTATTTGTTGTATGAAAGGAAAAGTACATCTGCCTCTTCTGCAAAAACCTCCTGAGTTACTCTTTAATTTGTTTAACGGCATTGATCCGAGAAGTTCTCATTGTATGAAAAATATAAGAAAATACAATTGTATGTTTTCATTCACATCAATTGAAGGACACATAGAAACATCTTAGAACAATGGCCGAGCAGCTCCGCAATTTACACTTAGTGGGAAAAATGATCACAGGATTGGATCCTTATTGCCACAAGAGGGTGTTGTTCCAAGATACACGCAATTGTACATATATGATACACAGAATGAAATATCAAACCGAATGAGCCATTACAGGTATTTTACTCAACTTAATACACTTACTTCATTTGTTACACGTGTGATTTATTCTTGAACATGAAAG